TAAGTTCTGAACAGTTTCTCCGGAGGCGTAAAAACTGGCTTTTGGAGCACTCTCAAGCCAGGGCTTATAATGGCAACTGGATCTATCTATAGCCGTGTTTACACATACTTTTTTGAAAAAAGTTTTTGTTTGGACTTGTCCCTTGTTGATAAAAATATTAAGGTCTAAAAAATTAATAGATTCTTTACGAAATTCATGTGTAAGAATAATACCCCTATTATTGGTATTTAAATGATTAATAATATCAATAAGATGGTTCTCTTGTCCATCCCAAATAAAAAAGAGGTTGTCTATGTATCTAAAATAAGAGACTAGGTTTGCCCGCCATTGGTGGTTACCCCAGATGGCTTCAGATTCCCAGTTAGCCATAAACAAATTGGCATAACTGGGGGCAAACCTAGTCCCCATAGCAGTACCCCTTTTTTGCAAATAAAATGAATCTAAAAACCAGAAATAATTGTTTTTTAAAATAATATTTATACCTTCTATTATAAAATCTATTTGGATATCGGGAATCCTAGCTTCGTGAATTAAAATTTCTTTTATAGCTTGACAGCCAATGTCATGAGGGATAATAGTATAAAGAGACTGTACGTCACATGTAACTAATATAAAACTATTTTTCCAAGTATGCCAATTTGTTTATGGCTAACTGGGAATCTGAAGCCATCTGGGGTAACCACCAATGGCGGGCAAACCTAGTCTCTTATTTTAGATACATAGACGACCTCTTTTTTATTTGGGATGGACAAGAGAACCATCTTATTGATTTTCTTAATCATTTAAATACCAATAATAGGGGTATTATTCTTACACATGAATTTAGTAAAGAATCTATTAATTTTTTAGACCTTAATATTTTTATCAACAAGGGACAAGTCCAAACAAAAACTTTTTTCAAAAAAGTATGTGTAAACACGGCTATAGATAGATCCAGTTACCATTATAAGCCCTGGCTTGAGAGTGCTCCAAAAAGCCAGTTTTTACGCCTCCGGAGAAACTGTTCAGAACTTACAGATTTTAATGAACAAGCGGATTTCTTAAAAAATAAATTTATGGAAAAAAAATATCTAGAATCAGATTTAAACACTACAATAAATATAGTCAAACAAAAAGAACGAAAAGAACTTCTAACATATAAAAACAAAGAAAATAATGAACCAATAGTACTCCCAGTTATTTTTAATAATAAAAGCAAAGATGTTAAAAGAATAATAAGAAAACACTGGCATATACTCAAACACGATGAGATACTTAGCTCTATTATACCTGTTCATCCAAATATTGTTTTTAGAGGAGCACCCAATTTTAAATCTATTCTAACTACTAATTTTACTAAAAAATCTCCTCCCAAAAATTTATCCTTTTTTCCCCAGACAAAAGGTTTCTATAGATGTAAACAATGTATTGTATGCAAAACCACTGATCATTCTATTTCATCTAAAGTCTCAAGTTTTATGTCCAATCGGACAAAAAAAGTGTATAATATTTATGATTTTATATGCTGCAATACGAAAAATGTTATTTATCTGCTTGAGTGCCCATGTGGCCTCCAATATGTGGGGATGACCACAAGGTGCTTAAAGATAAGGCTAAGCGAACATTGCAGAAATATTAAAAATGGATACTTAAATCATACAGTATCCAAACATTTCATTATGCACAATAAAGATCCACGCCTATTAAAATGCATTGGTATAAAAAAATGTTTCACCTCTTGGCGTGGAGGTGACATAAAAAAACTGCTTGGAAAAACTGAGATGGAATGGGTGTATAAACTTCAGACTCTTATACCCCATGGTCTTAATGCAGACTTTGATCTACACAATTTTTTATAATTTTTTTATGATCATGTATGTAAAATAATACTTGAATTCTTTATTGTTGTTTATAATATGAGTGGCTTTTATATATTCCTCTTATGTATACAATTCTTTTTTTTTATATAACTATTTCCATTGTATTAATGTTGCCAGTATTTTTAAAATTAACCCTTTTACCCTGGCTTTTTAATTATTTTATTTTTATTTGGTTTTAAAAAAACCCTCAAAATCCCTGGAAGTTTCCTGCACTTAAAGAAATCCTAGGTGGGGATCAATCCACCCAAGCTGTCATCACGGAGCAGTTGGTCTGCTCTGGTTTTGTAAGTACATTCTTTTATTATTTTATCAATATTGCTATACAGTGAGCACTATTGGCTGTTTTCTTTTATTTCGAGAAATTGGACACCTATCACAGAGAGGAACCCATCTATATCCTATAAGCGGGGATTAAACCGCCGTATGCGCCTTATTCCAGAGCTAGGACATTAGCTCTGATAAATGTGAGTTTTATACTATTATTTCTTCACATCCATATTAGAACTCTACATACTACACTATTGGTTGTCCTCCTCTCTCTTTTTATTTTTCATATAAGTGGACTCATTACAAAGTAGAAGACGTCACCAGCAAAGATTATCTGTAAGGACAATACAATTGGACTTTTCCTTGTAATTGGACTTTATTTTTTAATAATTTAATTTTATTTGTGTGCGCAGCCTTTTTTTATTTTGTTTTTATCTTATCTAACTTAAAAGGGTCTGAGGGATCCCTTTTTAAAGGTTGCTGCTTATAAGTTATTTAGCGCTGTCTTTTTATTTTCCTTGTTACACACACACACACACACACACACACACACACACACCTTGACACACACCATGACACATAATGTGTATCTTTGTGTGTGTGTATGTATCTATGTGTCAAAGTGTGTGTATCTGGGTTTGAATGTGTCTGTGTATCAAAGTGTGTGTATCTGTGTTTGTATGTGCCAGTGTGTATGAATCTGACACACAGATACAAACACACACACACACACACACAGTCACATAGTGGCACACAGATGCACACAGTGACATACACACATCTTGACTCACAAATACACACAGAGTCATATACACACACTGACACTCAGATACACACACACACACACACACACACACAAACTGATATACACTGGCACATACACAGGCACACACAGTGACACATACACAAACCTTAGTAGAAAACATAGAAGAAAAGTCCAGGTACTCCAGGATACAAAATGGCAAATTTATTGAACCCACTGCCACTCCTAACGTTTCGACCTATACGGTCTTTGTCATACACAAACCTTGACACACAGAGACACACACACTCTTTGACAGACACACATACACCCTCACTGACAAACACACATAGACTCTATGACATACAAACTCCCTAAAAGACACACATACAATTTATTATTAAAAAAAAAAAAAAAGTTACTCCACCCAGCATCCCTACCTTTGGGAGTGCTGGCATGGAGTCTATGTCCCTGTGGTCCAGTGGGGCTGCTGGGCTGAGCATGCGGTCCAGTGGGGGTGCTTGGTGGCTGACTTACAGACGGCGAGGGAGCAGTGATCTCCCTGTCCTACATCCTCTCGCGCCTCTTAGTGATGCCTGAACTAGGTTATATTCTGGCTCCGGCATCACTGCTGTGCATGCGAGGGAGCTGAGCAGGGAAATCAGTGCCCACGGCCATTTTGTTTTTAGAACACCAATTGGGATACGCTGGCTTAGAACCCATTAACCAATGTATGACCCCAAATGACAATGTTCGGCATCGCACAACCTACATTGAAGGAGGATGACAAGTGATGGGTGTGTAAGCACATATGCATGCGCGATCAGTTCAACAGGAGGCAGGTAAACATGAGCAAACAAGAAAATGTAATCTTTTCATTTGTTAGACCTATAAGAAGTTTAGAGCATATATGAATGTTAAATCCCGGGCCTAAATAGTACCATACCACAGCTATAAATAAAAAAATAAACGTAAAAAAAGGTCATAAATGAAAGTTATCTAAACCGTTAACTTTAGCAGTGAATGCCAGGTATGGTTAATAGCAGTAATGTATAACCTCGACTGTGAGAGCATTATGGGAAATTTAGTTTAAAACACCCATAAAGCGAAGGTTAGCCTACATAGGCTAATACCATAGAAAAGTTAAGTATTCATCAAAACAGGTGGAGCAGGTTGTTGAAAAGCTGTTAAATACATTCAAGTTCTGTTTGGTACATTACACAAACCACTAAATAAAACTCTACTGCAACAATCTCTACACAGGAGAACTGTCAAAACATAATTAGGCAGACTGGTGATAATAGTTGGTTACCTGTCTCTGTTTTACTTGCGAATCCCGCTGCCTGTTTGATTGCTGCTGCTGTTAATGCTAATCCTCTGCTCCTTTTCAAGCCATGCTGTAACACAGCTTCAAACTGAGCGCACAGGCAAATAACTCTGCAACGAAACAAACACTTAATTAGAGATCTGCACAGGAAAATAATAAAACACGTCTTCTGCGAAGATGAAAGGGTGAAGAGGGGGCAGGAACGTTTCTTATAGTGTTCCAGCACACACACGTGGCTTCTGTATTGGATCCATTAAGGTGATGCTGAATGAATGATTTCCCTGCAATAACTAGGGTAACTTCATCACTGTTGGAGACGCATACAGTGCAGTGACTGCAAACAAGTCTCAATGAATGCAAAAAAAAAAAAACATGATATGCAAATAACGCACCCAAAGGCATAGGATGTTTGACGTACCACACTATCCACCTCTAGGCAATAAATAAACGGGAGTCAACATTAATGCAACTTGTTCTGTTAATGTGGATAACAAATGTATTGCTGGCAGTCTAAACATTCTCAGACGTTGGTGGGAAAAACCTTTAGGATTTTGTTGTGTCTGTCACTTTAGTGTGAATGTAGTAAATACATAATGCATCACTGTTTAAAAAGCAAAATAGAAAGCAAAAAAAGAAAGAAAAAAAAATGTTGCTAGGGAAAAAAATAAATACACACACACTGAACAAAATTATAAATGCAACACTTTTGTTATTGCCCCCATTTTTCATGAGCTGAACTCAAAGATCTAAGATCCAAGTGTCTGTGGGTGCAAGTGTGTATTTGTGAGTCAAGATGTGTGTGTCAGTGTGTATCTGTGTGTCAATGTGCATCTGTGTGCCACTATGTGCCTGTATGTGTGTCAGATACATATACACAGATACACACTGACACAGAGATACACACACACACACAGGGGCATAAAAACACAGATATCCACACCTTGACACACACCAGCACAAACAAACACAGATACACACACTTTAAAACATAGATACACACACTGTTTTAGTTTGCAAACATGCATCATGGTGATGAATCAAGGATCTACATTCAATTCAATTTAAAATTAACTGGTCAGGGAAATAAAATAACATGGCGGCGAAGGAGGAAAGAATTCAATTTGTCATGTCGTTGGTTGTACAGCCAACATCTCTTGGGTTAAGTTTTCTGACATTAAGAAATTACTGAAATGTCTTGTTAGATACAGGACTAAGATATCAGAATATTAAATAAAATAAGTGTTTCAGGCAGACTACATCCTCCATAAAAAGGAGCATCTAAGAGTGAGGCCTGGCTAAACAGAAATGGCTGGTAGGAATATGGGGTTAAAAAAGTCCAGAATTTGCGCTGCGCTAGGTTGAGTAACATTGGGACCTGCTCTCAAATTATGGTATTGATTACATATTTTTGATAAACTTTTAAAAATATATATTAAAATATATATATATAATATATAAAAAATGATATATCATATATTAAAGGACCACTCTAGGCACCCAGACCACTTCAGCTTAATGAAGTGGTCTGGGTGCCAGGTCCAGCTAGGGTTAACCCATTTTTTTTATAAACATAGCAGTTTCAGAGAATGAATGGGGCTTCTCACCGTGATTTTCACAGTGAGAGCACGCCAGCGTCCATAGGAAAGCATTGTAAATGCTTTCCTATGTGACCGGCTGAATGCGCGTGCAGCTCTTGCCGCGCGTGCGCATTCAGCCGACGGGGAGGAGAGGAGGAGGATGAGAGCTCTCCGCTCAGCGCTGGAAAAAGGTACGTTTTTACCCCTTTCCCCCTTCCAGAGCCGGGCGGGAGGGGAACCCTGAGGGTGGGGGCACCCTCAGGGAACTATAGTGGTCCTTTAAATATCTATATATTTTCCAGAATATTAAATCAATTTAAAAATGTATTAAAACATTTTTAAAATCAAGGCTATAGAAGCATGTAGAATGAGGCCAGTTCATTGCATGTGTCAGGGTTAGTAAACTTCAACCGCTCTAGAGAATACAAGTAAGGTTATTGAGATTGATAGGCTATTTCATTTTAACTTCCCTGATCTATTACCCTGACAATAGTATAACTGTTTCAAGTTTTGTAAATGCCTCCCGTGTTCCATTTTATTTACATTTCTTTCCAGTCTCCTCAACTTAACAATTCTACCCTTGTTTGCACAGATATGGTTCCGCTTGTTAGTCGTCTTTAGTGTAGCCTATTGTTTTAGGAGACTATCCGGTTTCTCTCCATTAGCCTTTTTTCTTGAAAACCCTGCCTTAAGAAGGTGCCCTATAACTACTGTCTTGTGGCAAGCCATTAAACAAACACAGAAACCTCTGCAGAGTTAACCTTAAAAAAGTTCAGTAGTAACTTGCATATCTCTTAGAATATAGAGGAATCTTCTATGAGGGATTCATTAATACGCCAGGCACATCTGCCCCAAACCAGGAGAGAAGTATGGTAAGGAATAGCATCCAGGGCATGGTAGGACCAGATGATTGGAAACATCCTTGACCTGTTTAACCCCTGCCCTATTCACCAAGCCCATGTCATTTCTGAATAAATAATGAACAATGAACTTATGAATAAAAGTATTGTTCCAATGTGTCAGGTACAAGGTCCTTCAGTTGAAGCAAAAGTCACAACTTTCCAAAAGACCAGAAAACCTTTTTTTCCCCCCAACAAATCTGTTCAGATGAAATGATTTTTTCGGTAATACACAACTGTCTGTAAGCTATATATAATTACACTTCTCAATGCCATGTGCTTACTAATGTAGTAGGCCTGGGTCTCAGTGACATCTGTGTGTGCCATGCAGAGCTGACTAAGCTGCTGGGAGCGGAGGAAAATCTTTACTCTTATATTACTCCAGGTTCAGTTTACACTAAGAGCATTATTGTTTTTTTCCTCTATTTATTTGAGTCCAGCAGTTATCACGTTGCTGAGACATCTGCTGTATTTATCTTCTCACATATCCCAGAAAAAGGGGATTGATTCCACTGCAAGCCAACTACACTAGAGCTTGTATTAGCTCTAAGAAATGTGAGTAAGACTACATAAGAACTCCAAATTATTAGAGCTTTGTATTGCTGTTACATTCTACCCAATTGGATTTTTTCTGTTTTCGTACGTCCACGGATGCAAAGCAGCTCTTGACCTGATATTTTAAACAAGAAGAGACTCTCTTATGGGATTTTGCTGTATCCTTACAAGTGATATATTTATACTAGACTTTTTATTGGACTTGGTTTTCCACTATTGCATTTTATTGGTTTTTATTGTGTTCTTATATTTCCCAATAATATAAGCGGTACGTTCTCTATTTTTTTTTTTTTTAATCCTTTGCACATGCCTGTTTCTTTAGTGCCATTTGAGGGAGGCCCATTATTTTAGGTGAGCTGCCTTTTTCGGTTCCCGTTTGGTTACTCAGCACTGATCCTTTGCAGTTTTTTAATGTAGATACATTTCTTATAACAGATGTGGTAATGCTGAAGAAAACATTGTCAATTTCAAATACTAGCTATAACCAGTTTTACCTGCTATCAGAGTCTGAAGCTATTTCTTTGCGTCCTCCAAATCGAATCTGGCACTACAAAACAAAAAATAAAAATGAAAGGTTTTCAGGCAGAACTGCAACTATATCCACATATTTTTAAAGGGTGAAAAGTTGAAGTAAAAAACACATCTTTATTCAAAGAAGACTATTCATCCACTTAAACCTTTGAGCGCAATTTCGCAATTTTTTTCTGCAACTGGATGTTAGGTCAAATTTGAGCATTCTGCCATATTTTACTGTATGTCGTATTTGTCCAAATATTGTACATTTAACCTAAAGAAGCAATAAGAGTGTATGTATTTTTATATCACGTGGAAACATATAATTACACTGTATGAATAATAACCCAGATTAGCCTTCAGCAGTTTATACATGATTAGAGTTCCTCAATAAACACACACAGAGTAATTTTTTTTAATGACATTATACAGCTAATCGGCTTTGGACATTTTTGTTTGTTTTTGTGGCAATTATAGGTCACATAATACAAAAGACTTATGGTCACAACCTTAAATGTTTTCAAAATTTATTATACAGGAATTATAAGCAAAATAATTCAAAAACAGCCCACAAAAAGTATAAATTTGTAAGACCGGTAGTGCAATTTAAATCATGGAACTATTTTATTATAAAATGTCTGTCAACCTTTGTGGTAATTAGTGATGTACCGAACGGTTCGCCGGCGAACGGTTCCTGGCGAACATAGCATGTTCGCGTTCGCCACGGCGTGCGAACATATGCGCGGTTCGACCCGCCCCCTATTCGTCATCATTGAGTAAACTTTGACCCTGTACCTCACAGTCAGCAGACACATTCCAGCCAATTAGCAGCACACCCTCCCTAGCAGACCCTCCCACCTCCTGGACGGCATCCATTTTAGATTCATTCTCAAGCTGCATGCTTAGTAAGAGGAGGGAAAGTGTAGCTGCTGTTCATAAGATAGGGAAAAGCATAGCTAGGTTAGGGATAAGGGGATGCTTTTTTTGGATTTTTTTTTTCTATCTAATGTAAATGCACTTAGTTGTCTGCCACTGCTGCCAGCTTCTGTGTCAGGCTCACAGTGCCATTTCCCCAGTCAGTGCCACCAATTACATCTGGTGTCACAATAGCTTGGATTTAAAAACAAAAAACTTTTTTCACTGTTATAGATTGAATAGCAGTCAGTTGTCTGCCACTGCTGCCAGCTTCTGTGTCAGGCTCACGGTGCATACTGTGCCCATTTCCCCAGTCAGTGCCACCAAATACATCTGG